CACACACACACACACACACACATATATTATCTTGTGACTCACCTCTAGAGCATTCACTGCATTTATTTGATCCACTGCTTTAATTTCACTTTGGCATCACAATTACGTCTTTTTCTCCCCCAGGTGTTAATGATTTCAAGATTGAGGTTGCTCAGAAGATAACCATCAAAAACACAAGCTACTAGTCGGTCACTGCTGATGCAGCAGTGATTGATGAGGATGAAAAGCAGTTAAAACTATTTGTTGTTTAAACCAGTGATTGTGCTTTTTTAAACAAATAAAAAAAGTGTAATGCCTTTTTAAATGAAGTTTCTGTAAGTTTGTCTCTTGTTGCAGACAAAATATGAATTATAAGCAAGTGACAGTTGATTAAATTACTAGCACCTTTACTATGGATTATGAGTATTAATTCACAATTTTGAAGTTATTTGAGTGGTATATGAGCAAAATTAAATCTTGGAAATAAAACACTGATGTTTTTAAAGTCACATAGTTGGAGGGAAAAGTGAAGTTAAGATAAATTCTACACCTTGAAATTTCACAAATATACTTAAAGAGGTCCAATGGTTTTCTGCATGAGCAGAAATAACGCAGATGACCTCATCCATCTGGGGAAGTGTGAGGGCTAACAACAAGTATTTCCGGGTTACAAGGAGCATCGTATTACATGTATTTGCCATTGTATTTACACGCAGCACGGTTTACTTTATATTTGTACGTTAAACGTAAAACAAATAATGTTGTCGTTTGCCACAGTTATATGTTCAAACAGGCGGGATATGGTTTGTCAAAATGCTTTTATTGCGAAGGTACAGAACTCGACACCGGAAGTAATATCTGTTACGGTTTGTAGCATTTGAGCACACTTTTTTTTATTAACTAAACTTAATAATTTTACTCCCCAGCATCTAATGTGTGAAACGATAGGGTGAGCGCTATGGGAACACTTCGCCGATGTATCGGCGTACATTGGAAGCACATTTAGCCGTAAATCTATTATCACAAACTAAAACTCGTTAGCTTACATCATGGAGAGGAGGAGCTAACGTTAGCTACCCTGCTATGAGCTTAACACAGCGCTAATGTAAAGTCTTAACCATTCACTTCCATTAGTGAGCACCATAGACTGTATACAAGTTGTTTTGTAGTTGTACGGATGTCTGTCACAATGTCTGCCATCTATCAATGCGTTCTGTTCAACCGTGTCTCTAAGTTTAACACTAGTTGGATACAGGTCTTGAGATTTGGGTACAATGTGCCTCCTCCTCAGTGGATGACACCGGACAGGATCCTCACGCAAGGTGGAAACGCAGCCATGACACGGACAACTAACCTAAGTAACGTTACGATGGCTAATAAGTCGAGGAAGCGCAGTGATTCTTGTTCGAGGTGCCTGTCAAGTTCAGCTGAGGATGCAGCAACTCGAGTGAAGAGGGTTTCTATCGAGGGCAACATCGGTAAAATCAGTGACGTTATATTAACACTTATTTCAAAGTAAGATCTTCTTTTGTCCCACGCTGATGATATGCTGATATGTGGTCTCCAGCTGTGGGAAAGTCGACCTTTGCAAGACTCCTGCAGTCCGCTTGTCCAGACTGGGAGGTGGTGGCAGAACCTGTGAGCAAGTGGCAGAACATTGATAGTGGGACCGTGAAGGTGCGCGCACACTTACCGACCTTAACATCTTTTCCCAACAAAAACCAAAGGGAAGCCGAGCTGACCGTCTCCGCTCGTGTCTTTGACAGGGGACAGACGCGTCCCCCCAGACGACCGTCAGCAACCTGCTGCAGATGATGTACCAGGACCCTCAGCGCTGGTCGTACACATTTCAGACATTTTCCTGCATGAGCCGTCTGAGGACGCAGCTGCAGCCTCCTCCGGCTCGCCTGCTCAGCTCAGAGCGAACACCTGTCCAGGTGTATGAGCGCTCCATCTACAGCGACAGGTAGGACCGGCTAGTGAAAATGAAATCAGGTCAGCGGAAGTAGTTTTGAGAAGACCCGCGAGACCCCATATGAGTGAGAAGATGGCATTTATGTGCTACTTAACTTGTTCATCAAACGCATTCTCCTTGATTTGAACTTGACTCTGTGTCCTGTCAGATACATCTTTGCCCTGAACATGTTTGAGCTGGGTTGTATCAACTCTACCGAGTGGGCAGTCTACCAGGACTGGCACTCCCTCCTGGTGGAACAGTTTGGACACCAGGTGGAGCTTGAGGGCATTATCTACCTCAGAGCTCCACCAGAGGTATGAACACAAGAGATGTCATGTTGGCTTCAAAAAAATACAATTCATTTAGCAACTTGTGAGGAAAAAGATGTTTGCAGCACATCCTTCTTTTTATCTTGTGGTAGTTGCCAGTGTTGTATTATTGTTACTGGTGTTTGTATTTGTATTATCGGTCCTGTTCCACGATATCACAAAATTACCTGATTGACATTTTAATCAATTTCATCTTGAAAAAGACACAAACGCATTGTACCCTTCTGTTGTTTGTCAGAAATGTATGGAGCGTCTGGGGCGCCGGGGAAGGCCAGAAGAGAAAGGAGTGAAACTGGACTATCTGGATAAGCTGCATGTTCAACATGAGAGGTGGCTTGTGGAGAAGAGCACTGAGTGAGTGCTAATGAGGGCATGTCCCTCTGTTGTCCTCTGCAGACTTGCATGTTTTGAATATTTTCAGTGACCACTGAAATGTAAAGAAATCACGAGGTCTTTTAAAGTGTAAAGTCACTCTCTTCTCAGCAATTATGAAGATGAAAGGATTTAACGGGAGGACATTACACTTAAAATTGGTATTGTGATCAGTAAATGATCCAACCAGCACCAGTGGTGATACAGCCGCTGTATTACAGGACGCTCTACGGATGCCTGTTTGTCCATTACCATTTTAAATGCCTTTCCTCGCAGCTGTTTGTTGCTCGGCCGTGAACAGATGACGGTCAGCAGTGTGTGGTCTGACGTGGTCGGTGTAACACAGCTCAACTCTCTCTTTTCAGATTACATTTTGAGAAGTTGAAACAGATACCTGTGTTGCAACTGGATGCCAGTGTGGAGTTTCAGAGTGACCCAGAGGTGCAGGAGGAATTTATACGAAAGGTATGTTTATTTATTGCACTGACATAATAGCTGCTACCAGGTTAAACCACACGAGGGCCTCGTCCTGAGGTTTGAGATCTCATTCCTCATCCTCACAGTCTCTGATCCAAGGAGAATCATTTATGTTTTCTGATCCGACGTTGGATGTGTTTCGTGTCTCTGATCCATCGGGATCCTAAAATATCTTTTTTCGTACACAGATAAAAAAGTTCTTCGCTGCTTTATGAGAGTCGGCTCCCATCACCAGTGGGAAACCGATGGGACCAGTCAGACCTCAGTCAACTGTGTTAACTTACATATAATACACATGAGCCTCTCATAGAGGGAAGGAAATATAAAGTAATATTAAAGGTTTTCTCTCTTTGAGAAGTTGCTGGACCACCTGTTTGTTTTTTTCTGTATACAAATGTCTTATCTCTAAATAAACTGTTCGATTGTTAAATTTGTTCTGCTTTTATTGTTTGCATGTTAATGTTTTGAGATTCACTGGCTGGTTAAAGTTAGTTGTTACACTGTACTGTTTATTCCCCTTGAAATCCAAACTAAGTCTGTGCTGTCAGTTCTATGACCATTTGGAAACAGTTACACACTCCTGACTGACAATGAACAAGCAAACAAGTATTAAGTATTCCATTTGTTGTCTGTTAACAAATAAAAACCTTATCTAATTGTTGTGATGCATTTTCCATTTTATTATCAATTAAATGACATCTTTTATTCCTAGTTTCTGTATGTGTGACATTACCTTTGCCATTGCTACTAAACAGAAAGGTGCTAATGGCTGCACAGCATTTAAAGTGTTATTTGTTAATGGATTTTTACATTTCAAAAGGATTTGGCTCCCGAGTGAGTAGAAAAGTCCGGGCGGTTTGACAGGACAATGACCTTGGCTAAATGTTGTCTTTATCTCCCCCTCCGGTGTGCTCTGATGATCACAGGGGCTGTTCAGATGCCTGGAGTGATCAGGGGTCATCAAAGGGCAGCTGTCCACTATAAAGGGGCCTGTCTGGAGCTCCGTCTGCACATAGCATCATTTCAGCCCGAGACCAGCTGCAGGAAGGAAGGAGCTCTTTTGCCTCTCTCTCATTATTGTCGGAGTAGAGTTAGTTTGTTTCAGTTAAAATGGAAGCCAGCGTCCTGACAGTTTTCTGCACACTCCTCGTCTGTTCTTTTGGATCCACACAGGGCCACAGATATTTGAAAGACCTCAAGTCCAGTTCAGCATTCAGAAATCTCTCATTTAATCATCGCAGCAGATATCCTCTATACATGATGCAGCTGTACCGCTCCTTCAGGACCGTCGATTTCTCACCCTCATTAGCTGTCAACGCCGCTACAATGCAAGGTCACAACTCGTCAGTGCACAGTTCTGACTCCGTCCTCAGTCTGATGGCCAAAGGTGAGTAAGCTGTTTAATTTTCTCGTTTTTTTCCCCCAATGATTATCTGCATCACTGGGCATACAGCACGTTACATAGTGTCAGTTTCTCCTCAGTGTACTCTATTCTCCAGCAGCTCTTTGGTTGGCGTGTTATCAGTGTTATCAGACCCTCCCTTTTTACAACCCAGCAAGTGTCAAAATGCTTATTCGACTTTAAAGGCTTTCTCTGTTTTATGTGAGAGGGTGTGTATATTAGCCCTCAGACGTCCTTGCACAGGGGGGTTC